TGTAAAATATGTCTTCTTTAGTACTTGTGTTATATTTGCATCTCTTTTGCTTTAGCCAAGTCATTAATGTTTTGTGCTGGTGCCACTCATTCTCTAAACCTTTAGTAACAAGGGGTTTATAACATCAGCGGTGCACCGATACACTCATGTGATACTGGTGACATTATTTTGTTTTTCTAAATTAAGTCAATACTCAAAAAAGGCTATCTGCAAGTAAAACAGACTTTAGCTAAATGGTCTGGTATTATGTACTCCTGAGCACTTCTCTAGCTGAGAATCATGAAATCTTCTGCTAAGCTTTTTGGATAATAAGAACCATAAAAAGTCAAGTGTGATTCATGTATGCTCTTTGGGTAAGGCTACAAACACAGAAGGATATTGCACCAGAAGTTGGAAGGGTTAAAGTACGTGTGTAAAGTGCCAGTCAAAGGTAAAGAACCTTGATCCATGACCGTTTCACATTTGCAGATCAGCCTGGAGCTGTTACTTGCATGCCAGCAAAGATAGTGTAATCTCATAGCAGAGTGTGTCACGATTTTTCTGAACACCTTTTTTTTTTTCCCCTTGTCAGAAGTGTTTAAATAGCAGTTGTGTGCAGTGACAACTCTTGCTTCAAAGTATCATGAATTCTCATAAATTAACCCATATTGGTTATATTTATGAAATTGTATTTTATTGAAATTGCTGTGCTTTGAAATATGATATTAAATTTAAAAAAAAAAAAAAGAAGAAGAAAAATTGAGCTTGGAAGGCACCTCTGGAGTTCATCTTGTCCACACCTGCTGCTCAAGGAAGGGCCTCCTAAAGCAGATTACCCAGGACTGTGTCCAGATATCTTTTGAAACTGTCCAAGTATGGAGACACCACAACTTCTCTGGACAACCTTTGCCATTGCTCAGGCATCCTCACAGTGAAAAAGTGGTTGCTGATGTTCAAATGGAACCTCCTGTGTTTCAGTTTGTGCCCGTTGCCTCTGGTCCTCTGACTGGGCACCTCTGAAAAGAGCCTGTCTCCATCCTCTTTGCACCCTTCCTTCAGGTATTTGTATAACCTGATAAGATACCCACAAGTCTTTTCTTCTTGAGGCTGAGCAGCCCCAGCTCCCTCAGCTTTCCCTCATATGACAGATGCTTCGGTCCCTTAATCATTTTTGTTGCACTCTGCTGGACCCACTCCAGGAGCTCCATGTTTTTCATTATTTGGGAGAGCAGTACTGGACACAGCTCTCCAGATCTGGCCTCACTAGTGCTGAGAAGAGGGGTGGGATCACCTCCTGAGGCCTGCTGGCAACACTTCTAATGCAACTGGGATATTGTTGGCCTCCTTTGTCCCCAGGGCATGTTTTTGGCTTATGTTCAGCTTGGTATCCGTATGAAACTTGAGGTCCTTTTCTGCAAATCTGCTTTCCAGCTTTGAAAGAAACTATACTTTTACCAAATCTAAGAGGGTCATTTTCTCCTATGGTTCAGTTTAGAATTCCACTTGCACATCCAGGTTTCTTGATGGTAACAGTAGGAGCTTTATAGTACTAAAAAAAAAATTTGCAACTTGATGGCAGGCAAGGACTGGATTTTCATTTATAAGATATATACAATATACAATATATATACAATATTCTACACATATTATCTATGTGTCTGCTATCTTCAAATTGCCTTATTTAAGTTTTAATAGGTTTAGCATTCAAACATATGCTGTACTGTTCAGTAAGTCTTAACAACTAGGGGGAAAAACACTGTAGATAACCTTTTTTTTTTTTTCTTTTTCTCCTTTATCTCGATTTATAACTTCCTGTAACCACAGAAGAATACTGTACTCTTACGTCTTTACTTGAGGCATTTGGACATGAGAGAGAAGATCTGTTTCCTTCGTTGTTAGGAACTGATCTTGGACGATGTTCTTGTCCCCACTTTTCACTGGTGCTCAGCACTGACTTTTGGGAAGCAGCATGCTCCTATGGCCAGAATACCATTTCCTGTAAACCTTGCTCTGCCTCAAGAGCAAGTGGCCACAAGCAAAATCAGGGAGTCTCAGGAAAAGCTGGCTGCAGTACACTAGGTTTGGGCCTGCAGTTGCGGTGCTGCTCTTCATGCTCCATTTCCCATGTTCGTGGTAGCTCTGGTAAAAGGCTTCATAAGAGCAGTGCTCAACTGATTGCCCTGTTTTTTCGGGTTTTCTTTCGTTCAGGTATTTCTGATAGAGCTACTAAACATGCAGGAGGAAGTAAAAACATTAGACTGTGTTAGCAAAACACTGAAGCCTTGTCTGCCCTTTTTCCCGCAGCTAAGCTAGACCAGCAGTTTAGCAATTTGTTCTGAAGTTCCCAGGAGCAGGTGAGGTTATAGTACTTATAGATAAAAGGCATCTGAGTGCTTTTGGTGACACCAGTAGTGAGACGGGCAGATGCTGTTTCGTTTACAGAGGATTTTGGAAATGGAAATCATTTGTAAGTCCTGCCACCACATTTTGGCTAATTGCAAACCAGTTGTATTGTCACTAAAAATAGCATTTGTTACCAATTGTGAGTTCCATTCAGATATAAAAAATAATGTTAAAAAACAACCACCAACAGAAACAAAAAAACCTAAAAAGTCTCTTTGTAGTCTTTGGCATTGTTGCAAGTAAAGTAATGAATTTATCTATTTAATTTACAGGGAGGTTGTATGGAAAAACTATTTCAATTTAAGAGGTTATTCATTAAATATTACCTGTTGGGGAATTTTATTTTGGCTCTTGCACTAATGCAGTGGATTTGGTAGCCATTTCCAAAACATTTGAAAGCATAAATGTTTAAAACCGCTTGGAATATATGGGAAGCAAAACACAAGATTGTTAATTAAACTAGACATCTCAGTATAGGGAGGGGGGGAAAACCCCAACACTGACAGAGTATGATAAAGAAACCTCCATCTTTACATCTTCTTAGCAATTCTTGGAAAGAAAATTAATGTGGAGTGTAAACTTTCATTTTAGGAAAAACTAATATGTTATAGTTTAAGTTTTCTTATGTAGCCTAAGGGAAGTTCTGTGATATCCCTAAATAATGTTTAACTGAACTCTTGCTGCAGTCTGTTGATATACAAAAGAAAGCTCTAATATTCAGATTTACAACCAAATTTATAGAATTAATAACTTCAGAGCTAAATCTGTGTTTCACTTAAATGGACAATAGCAAAAACAGTGTGTAGGCTTAACCAGTTGGTGCATCCTGTTTCTTACTTTTTCAGAGAAAAGTCCTGGTGTCCTCAGTTTCTGTCAGAAGAGACTCTTCTGAGAGAAATGAGACAAAAGACTACCTGTGTCTGAAACGTACAACTACAATTTGAACCTGTATTGCAGTGAATAGGGTGATAGAGACCAATGAATGAATGATTCAACTTTCAGTAACAGTATTAGGCATCAAGATGTAGCCATTTTTTTTTGCAGATATTAGAATTGTGATAGATGCATACAAAGAAGGATTGGATTTTTCTTCACGATATTTGTCTGCTGTGTTTGAGTAGTTACCGAAGTAAGTTGGTACAGAAATGGTGAGAAACATTAACTGAACTGTCATTTTAACTGATTTTTAGAGAGAGGAGGGGGCTGGAATTTGCTTGGAGGGGGCAAACAAAATCTATTAACAAATTCAGCTGCCTGTAAGCTAAAGGTTTATAGTCTTGTTTTATTTTCCGTTTTGCAAACCATTATGTATTTAAGCTTAGATGCTTGCAGCAGAATTCCTTTTTATATACATATATATATACACACACACACAAATGAATCATATGTGTGAATCATATGTGTGTGTCAGAATGTAATATATTAATTACACAAAAAAGCCTACCTTGGTTATTTTAGTATAGTTGGGGGAAAAAAATAAAGCAGTGATCTTTAAAAGTACAGTAGCTTGGTGAATGGTTTTATCACAAGTAATTTTGTACAGAAGGAATAACTTTGTCCTCTTCTAATATTTCCTTTTCAGCCCTTAAATTTGACATCACTAATGCCAGCTGGCATAAGTACTTAAACCCTCAATCCAGAATATGTTGCAAAAGATAACATGAATCATATTTAAGGTGTTTGAATATTCATTCATCAACTGTTACATTTATGCAGTAAACCATACTTTGAATATAGGATCTTATAACATCCTTGGTTAACCATGGGGTTTTCCAACTGATATACTGGCAAATTCATAATCAAAATTAAAACTTGTCATTTAATTTAAAAGGAAGAAATAAAAGGAGAGAGAGAGAGAGAGCTCACCAAAACCTCTTTTTCCTTTCTGAAAAAGCGATTTGGCTCCTAAGTAATGACATGATAATCATTTGTGTATTTTATAAAAATGTTAAATGATGGGAAAAAGCCATTCAGTTGTGAAATGCTTTCACTACAGGAGAGAACCAGCTAGTAGATAACTGCAAAAAGTGATTTTAAGTATCTCTAACTGGCTCTGTTGTTGAACCCCACAATGTGTGTGTCCCAACCTACCCTTGCAAAGGACAGGTTATGTGTGTGGGGAGGAGGGATGGATGAAGGGAAGCAGGGTTTTCTGGCTAGAAGCCTGTTCGTGTTTAGATTTCAGTGACAGAAGACCTGACCTCTTTCTGCTTTCTTGTTCTCTTTTCTATGCAATTTCATGATGACTGACTGGCTTCATGATTAGTCTAAAATAAATCGGGAGTTGATTCTTACTCTCTTCCCGACCCTCTAGCTAGATTACTGACTGTGAAGTTTTCAGAAGAATATCAGTTTTGACTTGGGAATTATATTCTCTGGTTAAGTTTCTTTACAAGAAATTACATGTAAGCTCCAAAAAGTCCTAATGAAGTCATAAAAGTACAGAGGAACATTTTTTAGAGTGTGGTCTATGGGTTTCTTCTAGGATGACAGTTGTGGAAAGACAATGTTAATTATTGTGACCTTGGTTATGGGTTTGTTGTTTTGTTTTGTTTTTAACTAGACTTCACTGGTTTCTGTTTTTGAAAAACTAATTTTTTCTTTTACATCTCTTTCAGTAATAGTTATGCACGAGTGCGAGCTGTGGTGATGACCCGGGATGACTCAAGTGGTGGATGGTTACCACTTGGAGGGGGTGGACTAAGCTGTGTCACAGTCTTCAAAGTCATTCCCCAGGAAGAGAATAGCTGTGCTGATTTTCTTATCCATGGAGAACGACTCAGGGATAAAACGGTAACAAATTGCATCCATTTAATGATCATAGTTGTCAGGGGAGGTTTAGAGTGGATATTAGAAAAAGGTTCTTCACCCAAGAGGGTGGTTGGGCACTGGAACAGGCTCCTCAGGGAAGTGGTCACAGCACCAAGCCTGACAGAGTTCAGAAAGCTTTTGGATGATACTCTCAGGCACATGGTGTGACTCCTGGGGATGGTCCTGTGCAGGGCTAAGGGCTGGACATGGTCCCTTACAACTCAGCATATTCTGTGATATTGAAACTACATGGAACATAAGTATAGATGCTTGCGTATTGTTACCTGTAGACTAGAAAGTAAATTTATAGTCTCAGACTAATACTGTTGCTGAGCTTTTTTGTGTCAGTGATTATATACCTAAAGAGCCAATTGTTTGTTTTAGGTGTAACGCCATGCTTTTTTAGAATTAAGCACATTGATCTTTTAGAAACTGTACATATTTTTTTCATTGCAGATTTCCACTCATTTGGGGAAACATTTTCGTGGGTTTTTTTTTCCCAGTAGAGTGTTAAGTCTTGTTATCTTGTTTATATACCAGTGATACTACATTTAATATGAGTGGTGGAAATGAGATAATTTCTTAAGAACATGAAAACAGAAGGAATTCCTCAGTAATGGTTGTGGAATTTGACTATGACAGAAAGTAGCCATTTGACATGAGAACAACTTTGTATTGTAAGAGAGCTTAAGCAGACAGGTCCAAGAATTGCTCTGGTTTGATGAACACACAGGCAGTATTCATTCCTCAGCTACCTAAAATAAAATCCCACTAATAAATGTATCTTAAGTAGCATCATGAATATCAGCCTCACAAAAGGAAAACTGGTATAGAATCTGAGCCATTTCCACATGCAGACCTGTGGAAGACAAAACAGGCTTACTAAGAATTGCCTCGATACTTGTGTACCAAATAGGTTTCTGAATGAGGCTGTGTCTTATTGTGGAAACAAAGAGACATAGAGAAGGCAAAAAGCTCCATCTTAATGACTTTTATCAAGAACCAATTGTTTTCTGCCAATGAATTTTGACTCCTGTGTTAGCTTAAAAGGTAGAATTTCCTTACACCATAGTGCTGATCCTTTCTCAAGCATACCAGTTTCTCCCTTGAAGCAGGACTGCTGAGTTTCCTGCCTTGACTGTGACTATTGTAGGAAGAGAGCATATAAATAGAAATTCTGCTGACTCAGTTGTTTCAGCGAGGCGTAGTGCTATTAGCAGAGTACCCTGTGTTCCCGCACAGCTATGTGCACCTGCAGTTCCTTCCTCACTTTGCAGTAGTTCCCCTTAGAACTTTTTTTTAGCCTTATTGAGGCTGTTTTTTGAGAAGCTTAATTGCATTTAGAGATACTTGATAATTTTCTTTTAATTCTTAATACTTGGAACATTCACAGCTTGCCTTAAGAATTTGAGGGTAATAAAATGCTCGGAACTGAAGGCTGGTTTAATGTTTCGCCTGCATGCATATGAAAATGTCAAGCCTTCAGTGTCCTGATCTGTTTGCACTCTGCTGTTTCCCCTGAGCAAGCCTTGTTTTGTTTCCACTTCTGGTAGAAGGTTTTAAATGTTTCTGCTCCTCTTCCTGTCCAAAATCAAGTTCATGTTAGCGTGAATACATTTTCCAAAACTTTATTGTCTTGAACAGTTTGTTTTGGTTTGGGGTTTTTTGTGTGTTCCATCCTGTGTCCATCTGTCCTCCCCCTTGCTTGCCCCCAAATGTGACCTCTGCTAGTCTTGTCAGGGCAGATTGTGATCTTGCTGCAGTTTCAGGAAGTTGCTGTTGGAAATCAGCCCCTCAAAAACACAGGATAGAAGATAGAAGAAATGAAGCTAGGAAGATCATCTCTCCAGTGTATAGTGAATAAAAAGCTCAGAGAACTAACAAATACAGATTTGGTGTGTGGGGAAGAACACTGGAGAGCGAGAGATTCTTTGATAACTGAGTAAAAGGACACTATGTGTACACGTATTTCCACAGACATCAGATAATGTGCTTATAAGCAACAGCTAATGTGTAATGAATTAACAACAAAGTTGTATGTTATGCAACAAGACCTCTCTCAACATAAAAGAAACAAGATCCTACACCAAGATATGCAAGGTCATCTTTAGGTCGTGAGGCTTATTCAGAAGGGCGGTAGGTAGCAGGGAAAGACAAATTCTGTTGGACAGGGATCTAGTCACTGATTCTAGAATTGTTCTGATCCTTATGCTTTCAGTATAGTTAATGGTTTTACATTTGTTCTTAGGATATTCCTGTAGAGTCACTGTAAAAGCACATTTTTTAACCTTTTCCTTAATAAAGCCAAACAATTGAGTTTTTAGTCCAAATAGAATTGACAGTTGGCTATTATATTTCATAATAATGATACATTTTATTTTTTATTTAAAAATAAAATAAAAATGGAAGTTATTGTATTTGCTATGGATTAGAGACCAAATACTGTGATCACCTTGAGATTTTGAGGAACTGTTATACTGAATCTGCTGTTTCTGTGCTCCATTATCACTCTAATCTCATTTTAGAATGCCCTTGGTAAACCTGTATGCCTGAATAATCTTTGAAGTTATTAATACACTGTTTAGTTGATTGCTCTGCCATTGTATTTGTGAAGAGAAAGTAACAATATTTTTTTTTAAACAACTTCCTAAACCATTTTGAACACATCAGTTATTCAGACTTAGAACACTTAAACATTCAGGAATGTTTAATCTATTGTAATAACTAGAAGTCATTACAGCTTAGTCACTCACTTCTGGCAAGGTACATACAGCTGTTTCTGAAAGTACTTAGGTGGATTATAAAAGAAAGTCATCCTTCCAAATGAAGTTCCCCCCAAGTCACATTGTACATTGTTAAAATATCTTCCAAGCTAAATTATATTTTGATTTCCTCTAGCCAGTAAGTCTTTTCTTTTGGGAACTGGAAAACCTAGAGTGTGGAACTTGGAGCACTTTTCTGGGACACAGGGAAGCATAGGTTTTGAAATACCTGAGGTTACAGAGCAAATGGAATTCAGGCTTTTACTTAAGATACATGGGAATCATAATGCCAGTGTAACTGTTTAACCTATGTGTCAATAGAAAGATGGAATTCATTCCAAAGCAACTTGAAATCCACAGGTGAGGTATTTGATGGACGTATTTTCCAGATACCTTTTGAATGCTTGTGCTGAAAAGGAATGAACCAGCTTTAGTTCCTACTTCTCCAGGTGCTGCTTCTGACACTACACTGCAGTTCCATTCCAATGTGCCAGATATTTCTATATATTTTATAGGCTATGCAGGCATTTAATTAGGAGTGTAGATCTCCGTCTGTAAGTCAGCTGTATAAATTAAATACTTCTGGACTGAACTTCAAAGTATTGAAGTTCCTTGTTGGAGAGGGTTCTCATTGTTTCTTTATATACTTTAGAGTTAGGTTGCTATGAGCCCTTTTGTGAACGAGCTTCAGACTACATGTGGAACATCCAAAATTTTTGTGCAGTACAGAGCTATTTAAAACATCTCGTGGCATTCACAAAAAGCATCTTAGTTATCTGGGAAGAAAATCAAAGTGGTGGCACCATTGCATTAATTAATGAGAAAGAATGTTCCCTGCTAATTTGATCAGGTTGTTTAGATCCATGTTGGAATGTAAGGGTATTTTGTGAAGACTTTATTTACATAATTACACATTTCCTACTTTATTGTACTCACCTTCCTAGATCTGGTTCCAACCAGTCTGTTTGGAACAATTGCACTCCATCCCAACCTTGTCAGGTGTCCTGCTCTCACTTACTGTGTTTACAGTGGCTCTCTTCTATCTTAATAGCACTAGTGTTAAACATATGTTGGGCTCAAACTTACAGGTTTTTAGGCTTTGGTGAATTTTACATTCTTGAGTGAAAAGTCTAGTAGACTTATATTTTCTGCTCCAGTCCTTTACCGTGCAAGTTTTTACCAAAGGAGAGAAAAAAAAAAGTACTAATATCTTTTCGATCATAAATCAGGAATGACAAAGTTTAAAATCTTTCCTTTGAAGAACAGGTGGTTGTGTAAAGGGAGAGATACAAAGCTAAAACTAAATATAAATACCATTCTTGTCTAAAAATCTACTTTTTAAAAACTTTATTGTTTACTTTTTAAATTACTTTTTAAATTGGCTTTAAAGTTTGAGAAAAGATTGATTTTGATGGGCTGTAGTACAAACCTTAGATCATCTTGATGTTTGACCTACAGTTTTTGAGTTTTCTCTCAGCTGAGGCAGGTATGAAGTCTTGCTTATATGGATTCTTCTATCTGATAACATGTCAATTTTTATGTCAGTTACAATTTTTATGTCAGCAACAAATTTTTCCCTTTTCCATGCCCTTTCACTTATATCTACTGTGTTAACTTCATGCAGCTTTAGATGTGAAAAATCACTGTCATCCTGTGGTGTATTGAGGCATAGACTCAGGGGGGTGAAACTGAGACAAGTTTGTTGGGGTCATAGCCCCTTTTATAACCCAACACCAACAGACAAACATACCTTATAAGGTAAAAACTGTGTCTGCGGCATCTGTTTGGCTGCTAGCTGTCACGGCAGTTGAAACAGCAGTTTTTGGAGTTACAGCTCACTCCTGTAATGAGTTACTCTGTTCTCTGCCACGATCTGGGTTTTTTCCAGGCCCTGTTCCCCACAAATCCCCCTTTATTATTTTTTAAGAAAATTTGTTTCATTGTAAACATCGTAAACATTGTAAACATTTCAATACATGTAGTCATCATCATGGCTAGGCTTCACGAACAAAGATTTGGGAAGGACTCTACCCACATTTGCTACAAGTGTGCTGGTGACTAAAGAGGCCAATGCAAGATAGACAAGTCCAGTTGCAAAAGGCACAGCAAAAAGACTCCTTGGATGGTATCAGCAAGACACAATTCTTTCTGTGTTGTCTTTTCTCCTCAAGAGTGATCCTGTGTGCTTTCTCAAAAGAAGCAGCAGCATTATAGATGGTG